TTTCCTATAAATGTCGACCTTTACCCTCCATGGCAAGGCAGACATACATAACCTTCCTTCATCTCCGAGAATGCCTTTCCAACAAACCCTCTCGAGTCACTCAGTGTTCCTTATTCCTTGGGGTACCTCTGCAAACAACCTATCCAAAGCAAAAGTATTTCATATCATGAAGGTTAAAAGCAAGAGTATCTCATATCATGCATTCTCCATGTCCTTTTCCTTGTCTTTGTTCTAACCTGCAGGACATGGAGAAATTGCTCTCGAGTACTCGTCTTCCACTGCTAATGTACTTCCAAAGAAGCTGCCACATCTACCTGAAGAACAGATAAGGCAAGCGAAAATGATACCAGCAGCATGTGGAGACAACGTGCAGAAGAAACAAGCAGAGAAGAATGCAGCTTGCACAATCAACCCAGCATAAGGAGTCTGAGTTGAAGAACTAGAGAAGCTGCCACATTTGCTTGGAGAACAAATAAGGAATTGAGCCTGCACAATCAACTCGAGAGCAGAAGGAGCCTGAGTTGAAGAACTCAAGAAGCTTCAACAACATCGCCAAAGAGCAAAGCTTCGCCGTACAATTCTAATCCAGTTCAAGATCAAAGCTATGGAAAGGCAACAAGATCATCTACCTCCATAACCAGATTTGCGTTCCTAAACTCTACTCTTTCTTGTTTTTACCTTGCTATACTTGACATGTTTATTCGTTATTTGTTTATTTGCTTGTTTTTGTGTGAGTTTATACTTGAAACATTGAGGACAATGTTTGATTTAAGTGTGGGGGGGGTAACCATTGTTTTGCATGAAAGTCGTAGGAGTTTATCACCCATTACTTCTAATGTTGTTTCTTGCTCTTTTAAGTGTTTTTAAGCTGTTTTGAAGTGTTTTAGTTTGTTTTGATATAAAAATCCGAAAATCTCATAAAATTTTGAAAATTTGTTTTGAAAAACCTAAAAAGAGTTGTTTTTGTATGTTTATTTGTGTCTTAGGGTACCTTCCAACACAATGATGAGGATTTGGTTTTTAATTACATGACTGTTAAAGAGAGTTATAAACATGGATGAACATTTGATTTACTCTTTGGTGTATGCTTGGTTGTGGTTATAATTTATGAATTCACATGCAATCATAAAGGAAAAATTAGTTTTTGTAACATGCTTGAAGGAAGGAACTCAAACAAACGCTACAACCTTGTGAGACTTGAGCCTAAACATTATTTGGAGAGTTGATAATCTGTGCATTATTGTTTTCTAAGTCGTTGCATGATCTCATTATTCTTTGCTTGGTTACTACTTAGAAGGCGTTTCATCATTTAGTTCCAAATGCTAGAACTCATGCCCATTTCATTCAAAGCATGATATTGATTTGCATAACACATATTCAAGATGAAGTTGTGTAGTTACCACCACCAAAGCCAAATTGCCGTGTATCCTACTTCATTATATGTTTAAGTTAACCCCATTGAGCCTTGTTAGCCTACGTTCTTTGTTAACCCACGTTATCCTCACCTAGCCTAGATTAGGACCATCCATACCCTTGTTCTTAAAGCATAGTAAAGTATGATTCAAATTGAATTCCTTTTGATTATGTATGGCAGAAAATAAGTGTGGGGGAATTTGTTTCTCATATAAGTAGTGTGCCATAGGCACGGGTGGAAAGAAAGAAAAAAAGAAAAGTGTGAAAAGTATATAAAAAAAAAGAGTTGAAAAGATGTGAAAAAGAGTCCTAAAGTATTGTTTGTTGAAGAAGGGGTCCAAAACTTTGAATTCGGCCCTAATTATTGCTTGAATCTTCCCGTCGTGTTTAAAAGTTGATTTCTGCAATCTAAGTGAATTCTAAGTTTCAAGTTCATTACTTTGCTTGCTATTGCTTTAAGAACGTTTGTTATCCCTATCCTTCATTTGTTAGCCAACACCCCAAGCCCGTTACAACCTTTGACTTCAATCTTGAGTGTTATGTGTTTCAATTTGTGGAGTTTGAATTTGGTATGAGCATATGGTGTCACTAGTTCTCGCATCTAAGTATTAGCATTCCATTCATGAGATCATATCTAAACATGCTTATTAACTCCAGAAATTGCTTTCTTTGTGATACATATATGTGAGCGTTCGTTTTCATGTTTACATCAATCTTCTCACATATAACTAGTATAGGGTGTGTAGTTAGAAAATCTGAGTGAAAATTGAGTGAATATCTCGTAAGGACTTGAGCAAATTCTCTAAGGCATGTTACTACATTCAAAATCATATTTTAATTGGTTAAATGTGAACTAGTACGTGGTGACTATGATTAAGTATGTGCTTAAGTGTGAAGATGACCCAAATCTGTGGGGATAATGATTTTTAACATGTCATGTGCTTTGGAAATCCCTAAGGCAAACGTTGGAAGGTTTAGGTTGTGTTTTGTTTTCTTTATTTTGCTCGTGGACTAGCAAAAGCTAAGTGTGGGGGTATTTGATAAGCTCATATTTATATATATTTTACATAAAATTCACTTGTCTTTTCTTAGTTAGTTCCTTATATTTTTGAGCTATTTACTATGTTTTTGTGTTTTGTGTGATTTATCAAGCAAAGAAAAGAAAAGTAGCACAAGTGAATTATTAAGTAACAAATTCGTCAAAACTGCCTGTGCAGATTATCTGACTTTGGAAGCATGTTACAAACAGCTCAGAATGAATGAGAGAATGAGACTTATATGCATGGAAAGCTACGGATGTCTATTTTCTGGAGCAATTTACGGATTGTTAATCTCATTTTTCTAGAAGAAGTTATGGGCATTGTAACACTGAAAGGTCAGAAAGGGCTAAGCAGATTTGGCTAATAAAAAGAGAAAGGCAACACATGGGCAAAGGAAACACACACACATGGGCAGAAAATGGGTGGATTGTTGGCTGAAATAATGAAGAACATGTGTCTACAAATGCAAAGGAAAAACACACACATGGGCAAAGGAAACACACACACATGGGTAGGAATTGTGTGTGTTTTGTGGTTGAAATGATGAAGCATGTGTGTGTAAATGTAAAGGAAAATATGGCAGAAAATTGTGTGTGTTTGGTGGTTGAAATGATGAAGCATGTGTGTGTAAATGTAAAGTGGAAACATGACAACACACACCCACACAAGCTGCACATGCAAAGGAAATGGAGTGGTTCTCTCTCAAGCCTATAAATACCACCTCCCATATTCATCAACACAACAGTTTTTTATCCATCTTTGCCGTGAGTTCTCCACCACCATTCTCTCCAAATTCAGCCAAAATCACCCCTAGCCACACCACCCATCAACCCTAAACATTTCCATACCATTCCCCATCCATTCTACACCATAAAAACCACCCAAAACCTGTCCACAAGCTTCATGCCGCAGCAAGGAGGAAGGGAGATCCATTGATGCACCTGTTGTCCAAGTTGGAGCATTTTAGGTGTTTTCTTTCCTTGATTTTAATGTCTAAATTTATGCATCTTTGCTTTGTGAGTATGAGGAACTAAACCCCTCTTAGTTAGGGGGTGATTCGAAACTATGTTCATGCTTGCAATATGATTTGATTACATCCAGTTGTGATTCATAAGTTGTGAATTCAATTTACTTATCTGTTCGTATAAAAACTGATTTGTGTATGTTGGTTGAGAGTGCACGCTTAATTTTCATGCATGAATTTGACGCTAGAATATAAGGGAGTTTCACCTAATCGTTATGAACTTATATTCACAAGTAGTGAAGGTTGCTAGTCACAATCACGTTAAGTAAATTCTTGGCATAAGTTTCATGCAAATCATAGTAACGAGTGCCTCGTCAATGCTTATGTTTTTCATAGAACTTAATGATTCTTGCTTGTATCTCTATTATGCAATTCATGTAGGGAACTTGTAGGGAATGTTTTGGGTTGTCGTATGCAATCATCCAACCTAATAACTTGTGGAAAACTGAGGGTTAATTAGTGCAATTCACGGTTAATTTGGGGTGTTGAGTATTCATAGTTTATTGAAAAGCAACTGGAAATCGTTTTGTATGCAAGTGTGACATGTGTGGAGAAGAACCTCCTAGCTAGCCTTCCATCCATAAGTTTCATTCAAATTCATTTACAATCTGTTTTGTTTTACAAAGTTTGTTTTGTTTTCAAATTCGTCAAGAACCAATCTCCCATTTATTTCAAAGTGTTAGATTAATTAGTAATCACTTTAGTTTGTGTTTTTAAGTGTCTTGAGTCAAGTCATAACCCAATTTCGTCTAATTTAGTGTTAGGTGTTCAAAATTGCCCAGAAAGTGTTTTTAAGGCAGTTTTGAGTGTTTATTGTTGTTTTGAATCTTTTTGTTTATCTTAGTATTTTAAAAGTATAGTTTTGCATTCTTTGAGTCTAGTTTAGTGTTTTAAACTTTGTTTTTACGTTTTCAAGTCAGTTTCCAAGTGATTTAGCAATCCCTCCTAATCCCCGGCCTAGAACGATCCCTACTTACATACTTTACTACATTTGATAAAAAGAGGGTTTAATTTGTGTGCTTATATATTTCGCATCAATAATGGGCACAATGACGCAATGTTCCCCAAGGGAAGCTCCATCTAGGGGCTACGAGAATGAGTTATCAATGTTATAAATATGTATGATGTATATTGGCTAGGTATACTACGATTCTTTTCAATCTGCTAATCACTTGTTAGTGATACAAGAAAATGTTTGTGATTAGTTGTGCTATTTTTCTTTAAATGATAATGGCTCCGTTGTTCTTAAAACAATAGAAATGCTTTTGAACTGTGTGTCGTGTGCCGTGTTGTTATCAAAGCTACTAGTGCTCTGAAACTTTGGTTTTTCTATTGTATGTTTATTTCCAATCATTTTTAGAGCATATTTTCGTTGTTGAATTACATAGTAGTGGATGTGAATGTTTCTAAATTGCTCTTATCATTTTTCGGCATGCACCAAGAATTTAAATGACTATGGACTTACCGGAAAACCCCTACTGGGCATTTTATGCTCACCTGTTTTTCTAAAAATGTATTTTCAGGTGGTGTAAGGTTGACTACCTGAGTTTTGAGTTGCAGCTCTATTGTGGACTAGTAGAAAGGAGTCCTAACGTATATATCTTTTGGGTGAGCTGCGAAAGTATTTTGTCTAGTTAGTCTTAGTCTGTAAATGACCCTTTTGTAGCATTGTAAATTAAGATGACATGGGCCACAATGAGTCTCCACTTACCAGGGCAATGTGAACCATGTAACATTTGATCACTTGTCTTTTGACATTCATAATTTCTGCTCATGTTTATTTTCATCAAATGACCTGAACATGTTTATCGTGTAAGAAGCCTTGAAGTTTCTTTGGTGAACTCGTTAAAATCTGTGAGGCTTGATCTGTTACATTTTGAGAACCATTATGAAATTTGGTTATATTCAAACTTGTGGCTGATTATCTACTATTTATTTTCACTTTTCTTAGAACGGAATCGATTTCATTTCCAAAGACTTTTAAAGTGATCGAGGCTGCTCAAGTTTTTTTTTTTTTTCCTCTAAAACAAACAGCAACATAACTGTCTTGGACTTAAATTTTACTGTACTTCCCGAACTCAAAAACCATTAAATTTTTAAACAAGTTAGCGTTATAGCTCTACTTTGGATCTGGAAATTTTCATACTTTTTTATATGACGAGTTATTTTTAGTGAATTTTACTGTATAGATCATTTTTGCAGTTTGTATTACAGCAAGAGGTCCTTAACTCTAATTCTTAAAGTTACCTTTGTAGTTTGGTTTAATATATTTGTTGAGTTTCAATTTTTCATTGACATAATCTTTAGTTAATATTTGTTTTACACTCTTAATGTAAGATCCCACATCGACCAGCGGAGAGGGGTCGGTGTTCCTTATATGTACATGCTCCCCTCCTCATAGCACGAGGCCTTTTAAGAACTCAATGGCTCCGGATTCCATTGAAACTCCGAAGTTAAGCGCGTTCGGGCGAGAGCAGTCCTAGGATGGGTGACCCATTGAAAAGTTCTCGTTTGAGTTCTCAAAAATAAATATGTAAGTGAATGGTAAGCCCAAAGCGGACAATATCGTGCTACGGCGGAGTCGAGACTGGGATGTGACATAATGGTATTAGAGCCACTCTGCCATTCGATATGAATGTGCCGGCGAGGACGCCGGGTTCCCCTTAAGTAGGGTGAATTGTAAGATCCCACATCGACCAACAGAAAGGGGATGATATGCCTTATATGTACATGCTCCCCTCCCTATAGCACGAGGCCTTTTGGGAACTCATTGGCTTCAAATTTCATCGGACCTCCGAAGTTAAGCAAGTTTAGGCGAGAGCAGTCCTAGGATGGGTGACCCACTGGGAAGTTCTCGTCTAAGTTCCCAGAAACAAATCCGTGAGGGAATGGTAAGCCCAAAGTGGACAATATCGTGCTATAGCGGAGTCGAGACTGGGATATGACACCTAAACAACCACTTGGTTCTATTTATTTCTCTTAATTTCACATCTTGATTTTTGGGGTGTGACATATGTAATAGGAAATTGGAAAAGGGAATGTGAGAGCCTTTTTCAAGCGTTAACACCTTCAATCAAGGACCAAAGCCACCTAGGTTAGTTTCTTCGATGCCTAAGTTAGTTTCTCCGAAAAAAAAGTGAGCATTTAGGGTTTGTATGCGTAGTAAAAAGCTTACCAAAACTTGGTGGAGATAAGGAATTCATAAGGAGGTGGCCAACCTAGGTGTAGGGTTTTGTTCTACACGTGGCAGCTTCCCATTGGCCAAAGTGAGTCATCCATTGGATGGATAAGGAAAGAATTATTCCAGAGATATTAATTAGAAGATAATATATTGTCATGATGAAGTAAATATCCTTGATTGATTGTGATAAGGAATCCTTACTTGTTTTTTAATTGATCTTCAATCAGGAATGTATTAAAGATAGGATTTTGTGATTAATCATATTTTTAATTCCTTTGACCTTTCCTTCATGCCATGCGCAAGGGAGCTTGGTGATGTCGTATTCAACTGCTTAGGCCTTCAGGGATGTTGAATTGCAAGTGGGAATATTTGTGTTCCCTGCCCATTTAATGAGAGCATTCTTGTCTTCTTCGGAAAAAAATTCACGTGTCATCTCAATCATTTTTAGATTATTTTTTGCTCCACAATGTATACCTCCACCTCTATATAGCTGAATAAAATTAGACATAGAAACGTGAGTATTTGTTATTTTGTTATTGCAGTTTTGACCTAATTGATGTGTATTCTTGAAATACCCATTGTACCCTTTGGAATAAAAAGGCACTAGTACCCTTTATCTAAATAAATTTAGGAAAATGCGAGGAGATCATATTTCTATACCATATTAGTGTACTTTATAATGCAGCAAGTTATGTGGTACATACATGTGATACAATTATATGATATCTCTAGCATTCCTCATAAAAATATTAGTAGACTTGATGAAACTAATCTTCAATTTTGGGCTAATTTAAATAAAAGGTTATTTAGCTAAAGGTCAATCAAATCTATACTAATTAGCCATATATCAATGGTCAATTTTTTTTTTGTTGACATTATCAATGAAATATTTATAATAATTATGCATAGGTTAATAAAGCATACCACATGGGTTGAGGCTAGTTAGAAGATAACTGTTATACTATTCTCTCTTCACTTATCCATTTCCTTATCTCCTCCCCTCTCATCCTTATCTACTCCCTTCTCTCCCGATCTTCTATATGTCTCTCACTCCCCTTCTCTCTCTCTCTTCACCCTCTTATGTTTATCTCTCATCTCCCTGCCTCTCTATCTCTCTTGCTCTCTCCTCCGTCAAACCCAACCTCCCCTCACGGACATTGGGGTTTATCTGCCCCCATTTTTTATTCTTCAAGTCTGAAGTGTTTTTTTGGTTAAATAGCTTTGAAAAGCTTTCGTATGATTGAACACGTGTCAAACTTTGTTACACGCATAGCAAGGTGGGTATGGTGATTGCATTGGGGAGGTGGGTAATGGGGTGGGTGCGTAATGGATTATGGGGTGGGTATTGAACAAACAGATCAGGTTTTCTTTTTTTCTTTTTTTTTAATTCAAACTTGTGTTTATTTGTAGAAATTATAGCTATCATTTAGTTCTGCAAATATGTTGCAACCCTAACGCGATGGAGCTCGGATTGCCAACCACCGATTTGATTTTTTTTTTTTAAATGGTAGAGACGATGGGGTTTGATTCGATTACTTCGGTGAATAAATATGTTATGGAAGATTAAACTTCAGTCCAAGCCATCACTGAGAGGAAAGTTGGTCCAGCTAAGTAGAGGAGCTTGCTAAGAGAAAGACGGTGAAATGAGAGAGCACAGAGTTCTACGGTCTTGCATATTCAGAATCAGAAAACAGATACTGCGTTGCAGTGTTAAATCTAAGGGTAAATTTGTTGACCCTAAAAACTACCAAATCTATGTGGCGCATAGGCTGAGTAATTAATAAGCTAACTATGTCATTCGGTTGTGTGCAGGGCGTGCCAACTCGTCGATCGAGCTTGGCCGGGGAGTAGAATGTATTGCGTGGCGTTGGGCGTGCTGCTGACTTCTTAATCTTGTGACTGTGGCCGAGGAAAGAACACGTCTCGGCCTTCGGGTTCTAGAGCCTAAAGACAAGGCTGCTAGTCTTGTGAAGTTCACAGATCGTTGGCGCCGGGTTCGGTCACAGTGATTATATTCGTAAGAATATAAGCACGCCGAACTGGTACCAAACTATACGGATACAAGTACTTAAAAGAGATGTATGTCTTGATGGTGAATGTGGTCCAGCCGTCAGAATGCCGAACTCTAAAACTTACTTGTGAATATCCTATCATAAAACAACTCGGCGTTCAATGTGTCGAGCCTAGTAACTTGTAACACCTCACTTCACCTAGAAGGCTAATGAGATGACCTCTGCCAATAAGGATTCGAAAATCCTTCTCGATCGAGACTTAGATAGGTAACCAGTCGATCTCGACGCAATGTTGTTTATCCAAACTGAAGGTGCTTCGCGGTCGGCTGATTCTACGGCAACAATGTTGTTTATCCAAACTGAAGACGTTCACCGGATGCCTTCACAGTGCTGTTTATCCAAACTGAAGGTGTGTTGGCAAAAAAGAAAATAAAAATCTCAAGGTTGTTAAGAGGTTTCGCGTAGAGCGAGAGTTTGCGCAGGCAGTTTGTGTGTTGAATTGGAGGGGGCTTAGAATGATGCACCCCTTCTTATTTATAGCAGCTAATCTCATCATGGTCGAACCAGAACTATACTCATATTAGGATTCTTTATCCTAATGTAACCAAGTCTCGGGCAATCCTACCTCCATTAAGACCTTGAACCAAACTCTTTATCCGGCCATATTCACTTCTCAAATCTCAACATTCTCACTCTATTAAGACTCCTTATCATCCTAGGACTCGACTCATTCACCCTTATCCAGATCAATCCTTCTTGTAATAGGACTCGGCCGACCTGACTGGACGGCTCATGACCACTGGACGGCTCATAGCATTTTTGGAAGAGCTGTGGACCGAATATAAACCTACGTTTGGCCTACTAATATTATTTTGGGCCTAAACATTGCCCCCTCACTTCTGAGGTCTTCGGCCTAGAACTCCTTAGCCGAGTTTCGACCTTGAAGATATGAAATCAAACCCTAAAGGTATCTTTAAAAGACGATGAAAATATTCCACACACCAAGCGCATTTATGAAGCACGATTGCACGATCTTAATTCTGTCAGATACCCTGCCACATGGCGACTCCTGAGCCTAATCGTCTATCATTAATAATGACCCTTAAAATGTGCAACCATCGAACCGTTTCTTTGCCATTAAATCCGTCGTCACACGCAAACATGCATCCTCAAACCACGAAAACCTCGGTCCCTTCACCTGGGTCTTTTGAATATCCATTATGATTATCAAATTTTTTAGTCGATTCTACCCCTTATTTAAAAAAAAAAAAACAACGGTTGCTCTTCTTTCCATAATGCCTATAAATACCCGGCTCTTTTTCATTCAAACTTTACGCTTTCAAAATTTTTGAATCTTCATTGCCATTCGTTCTCATATCTCAGAAGATGTCGAAACCCAGAAAGATCCAGTCCCAAACCCAGAAAAATCCTTGAGTTCTTCAACAATGGCTTCCAACACTTTTATCACCAAGCTTTCTGAGAAGTGTGCCAAGTGCAAAGACTTCATCGACCGCAACGCTATCAAGACCTTACGGTTTGAAGGTGATTCAGTTGCTTCCCACCAGATATTGGGACCTATTTTCAAAGACGTTGTCCTAGAGACTATTAGTGAAATGCTCAAAGCCAACTGCTTAAAACCCTTGCGCCAGGGGTATGATTGGTCGAAGTGGGATTCAGCCAGGCCTCAAGGATCTTGGCCCACTGCATCC